GACTAGGAAAAAAGCTGGGCTCAGCTGGTATGATCAGGTCAGGACTTAGCTTGCGGCATGTTTGTGTGCCTTAGGAAGTTCTGTCCCCTTTCGACATGGTAGATATCCTGCTTTGTGCACTCCTACCCAAGAGTTTGTTTGCTGCCTGTCTCGAGTCGAGACGTTATTGAATAATTTAGGTTGGAAAGGGTCTCTGTAGGCCATCCAATTCAGCTCCCCACTCAAACCTTAAGAAGTTAGACCAGATTCCTCAGGACAACATGCAGTCAAGCTTCTGACTATCTCTAAGGGTAGACATTCAGTAACTTTTCTCATCCCTTCTTCCAGTGTTCAGTCACAGTTCAGCTCACAGTTAAAATCTTTTTCACAATATCTAATTGAAGTTGGCTTTGTTACAACTTTGATCCCCCTTTGCCTTCTGTTCTTAAGACCAAACAAAGGCATTTCCCTCAGCCCGACCTCACCCATCGTGTGGCTTGAGCCCCCTGACTCTCTTGGTGGCCATTTGTAGTTCTTCCTTGTGCTGGAGAGCCCCAGAGCAGCTACAGTAGTCACGGGGGTCAGCAGAGGGGAACAGGTCCCTTCTCTTGACCTGCCCCCTGCATTCGTTCTAGTCTAGCCCAGGGTGGGACTGGTGAGACAGTTCTCTTTATCGTACTGCTTAAATCGTGTCGGTCTTTTCCACCCTGCCCCTTTCTTTCTTCTCTTTTCCTTGACTTTCCTGACTCTTCGGGTCACAGGTATTTGTTCTGAGCCTGTAATATGATGTGTTTACCTCATCTTGGTGTTCCTGGAAGCATTTTTCTTATCCTTGATCCCTTATCATTTAATCCAGTTTATCATTTAAACCAGTTACTAGTCCATGAGTTGACTTTCTTTTTGTACCAAGATAATTTCTTTAAGATCTTCTGGGGAGGGACCTTGCCACTGCTGGAACACAGATGTTTTGATAATTTACCTATGGTGCCATGTCATGTTCATGGCAGCTGGTGGTGCTGGAGGGTTCTTGGGTGGGGTGTTTTGCAGGCCATGTTTTCTGTCATAATAGGGAAGTGGAGACCAGGAATTGAACTCTGTTCTTAAAAAGCTTAACTCTATACTGATACACAAGATCAGAACTGTGACTAGCTGCTGTTGTCTTAGCTGATGACTGCCGCGGTGCTGTCCTTCACATCTCTGCTTAGGAGTGTTTGAAGGACTTCCTAGGCTTCTCCTCTGGACTCTGTGCAACAAAAGTGCTAGCAGTTAGGGCATCCCTTCTCAGATTAAACATTTTTTTTTTCCTGTTGGTTACTGAGGAGAGGATAGTCTAGAGAATAGGTTCTTTCATCCTTACAGTAGTCTACAAGTTTAGGTTTTGGGATGAACACCCAAAAGTCTTGCCTTGTCTCTGCCCAGCTCATGTATCTTTTGAAGCAATGTTGGTCTTTACCATTGAGCTTTCTACTTCGGGGCATGCTGCAGACTATGCAGGGCTTAATTTTGGATGAATCCTCCCCACTCGACTCTTGAGGTACGTCTCGCTTGACTTACTCTACGGTGTGTGGCAGCAGAAACCTTTGGGATGTCTGTTGTTAGGCTGTATCTTGGCAGCCTCTAACCCCTCCACGGAGGGATGCCCAGGTAGATGCAAGCTCACGTTTGGCTGATGGTTCCCTTAGTGGAGCTGAAACCATCTTTGCTGTGCTGGAGAAGCTGGTTGCCCTCTGGTAGAGAAGGTCTCCTTCCTCCAGGGCCAAGCGAGATGAGGAGGGTTATCTCTGGGGGGAGGCCAGTCAGATCTCAAAGTTTAGGACTACCAAGTGCAGGAAATAGTCATTTCATCTGTGTCCCGCAACTTGGAGCAGGGCAAAATACACTCAGGACACTTGTTTGTGTTTCTGCATGCTCTGTGTCCAAGCTGTATTGCACTGGGGTGTCCACTGACCCATCTCAACCGGCAGAGCACCTGGAGATTTTTTTGTAGACAGGCTGGAGGCTTTTAGCATTTCTGCATAGAGTATCAGATTTGATACGTAATAGTGTATATCCTAGATATTTTGGAAACCCTCACAAATCTCTTTTTATCCTTCTAAATGAGAAATTGGAAATCCAGCCAAATGTCCTGGAATCTGTCCTCTGTGACTGCAGTATTTCTGAGATAAACTTGTTTGCCCTAAATGCCATTGGGAGGTTCAAATCTTCTGCTCCTGAACTGACTACTGCTAAAGCCTCTTTGGGGTATTTTTCTAAGTTCAGTGATCTTACTGTTTCCTTTATCAAACACGAATACTTTCCTGGTGCTTGTGTAATTACATAATTTATATGTGGTGGGAGCTGAAGGACCTGGACTGCCCTTACTCAGTTCTACAGGGTTGTTATGTTGGCATAGTCAGTGTTACCCCAAGAAACTTTGAACTTGAAGAGCACTAGTCTTGCAGCAGGAAAACACTGCGCTGGGTGAAGGAAAGGTATGAGTTATAGAACCATAAAATAGAGTTGGAAGGGACCCTACAGATCATCCAGTTTCTGCCCCTCTGCCATATGCAGGGACACCTCCCACTAGACCAGGTTATCCAACCTGGCCTTGAACCCCTCCAGGGATGGGACAGCCACAGCTTCTCTGGGCAACCTGGGCCAGGCTCTCACCACCCTCACAGCAAAGAATTTCCTCCTAATATCTAATCTAAATCTACTCTTTCAGTTTAAAACCCAGCCGTAGGTTCCCCATATCATGATTGTGTATCATCTTCCTCCACACATAACCTTCAGAGGCCTGGGCCAGATAAAAGGAAAAGATGGACCATAGAATGGTTGGCAATTCCGTGGTTGGCTTTGCCCAGTACCAGAATAGAGATAAGGAGAGACAGTTCTGGAGTGTTGCTGAGGAATTGGTCTGAATAGGAGAGGTTTGGATTCTCTGGGAGGTGGGGCACATCTGAAATGGAGTGTGATGTTTAAATAAGAGACTGACTTAATTTAAAGCACTGTAGAGCTGAGTTTCACGTGTTTAAAATGTGGAAGGTTGTGTTACCAAGAGTTGAAGTGGACAAGAAAGACAACATTGGCCATGTTTGTGAAGATGTGGTGCTATTTATTAAATAGGTGCTGGAGCGTGTCCAGAGAAGGTCAACAGACCTGGTGAGGGATCTGGAGCACAAGTCCTGTGAGGAGAGGCTGAGGGAGTTCAGGGTGTTCAGCCTGGAGAAAAGGAGGCTGAGGGGAGACCACCTGGCTCCCTACAACTCCCTGAAAGAATGGTTTAGTCAGGGGGGGTCGGTCTCTTCTTCTCCCAAGGAACAGGCAATGGGACAGGAGGAAACAGCCTCAAGTTCACCACGGGAGGTTTAGTATGGATATTGGGAAAAAATTCTTCACAGAAGGGGTTGTCAAGCATTGGAACAGGCTACCCAGGGAAGCGGTGGAGTCACCATCCCTGGAGGTATTTAAAGCTGGACAGACGTGGTGCTGAGGGACATGGTGGTGGGTTTGTCAGTGCTTCTACACAGAAGTAGATCAGTCTGCCTGGATTTGCAAAAGCTACTTGGTGAAGTCCATTCGCAAAACTTGTTGAAGAAGGTAAAGAAAACATGGGGTAAAGTGAAGCAGCTGGTGTGGTTGAGTGGTTAGAAGATTAGCTAACAGGTAGGAAACAGGGCAGAGAAATGAGTGGCCGGTGTGTGCGTGCCGTGTCCTCTCCTCCCTGCAGCTGAGGATGCTCACCTGTGGGTTTCTGCGGGGGTGTGTACCCATCTCTGATGTTCACTACCTTAATAAATGACCCGGAAGGGAAATTAATAGTAAGACAATATGGTTTTTTGCTGATGGTATGAAGCTAACTAGGGTTGTAAAATCAAGGACTGACTATGGATGATAACATGAAAGGTGCAGTTCAGGCTGGATAGATGGAAAATGATTCTCATGGGGGGAGGATAAACAATCCAGACTTGACACAAAAAATGGTCCCTGAGCTGCCTCTTACAGTGCAGGGACAAGTTCTTTGTGTCCTGGTTCCATGGAAAAATTAGCTCAGTTCTCATCTGCAGTCAAAAAATAAATGAAATAATTGAGACCAGGACGTGGAGGAATAGCAACCAAACCAGAGAACATCATTACACTGTTATCCGTAACAATCCCCATGTGTTTGTGTTGTGAGCGATGTATGTGGTTCTGGTTTGCCCCTGCTCTCAAAGAAGATAGAGAACTGGTGGTGTAGCAAGAGTATTAAGAAGTATAGATGAGCTTCTATACAAGGAACAACTGAGTAGTCTGCAAGAGAAGAGACCACTGGGGAGTGGGACACAAATGAGGACTTTAAAATCCTTGGAAAAGTTAAGAGGGAAATGCTGTTCCTCTCTTCCAATTCTGAAAATGCAAGTACTGAGCAAAACTAGCTTGAAGTGTTGTTGAATGGTGGGGCTGCAGCATGTTGCCTTTTCAGAGAGCTTGCAAAGGTTCAGAACACGGTCAGATTAATGGAGGAAAATCTATCGGGGTGTGAAATACAGAAAGACCACCTTTTCCTAACGAAATTATCTAAAATATATGTTGGGCAGTGAAAGAATGTTCTTGGAAGGTACAACTGTTTGCTCTGTGCCGTGCATCCACTACCAGCTGTTCCTGGGGACGATATATTAGGCTGGATGGACATCTGTTCTTATATACTATATCTGCTGTTATGTATTATTTTACTCTCTTGTTAATCACCTATATAAATATAATTTTCTGATACATGGGGGGAAAACACCCACCACAAAACAAATGCAGAAATTTAATTGCCGGTTGTTTTCCAGTCCTTTTCCTGAAGAGTAGCTGCAGTTGTGTATGGGAAAGCTGTTGGTCACTAAAGCAGAGTGACATTCTAAGAAGACTAAAAAAGTAATGGGACGTCATTAGTGATTTCAACATTCTTACCTTAAATGATTTGTGGATTGTTTTTCCCCCCCTGTATTTCTGCTGCAAGAAATCTTGTGGATTGGCCGTTCGGTACTTGACTAACGTTTTCTTTGGGTTTTTTGAAGGTACATGGGAATAGGACTTTCTGCTCAAGGGGTCAACATGAACAGGCTTCCTGGTAAGTAAGTCACTGTTAAGCTGTGCTTTGGTTTACCAAATCTGTAGTAAAGTCTCCATTAAATGTTCTTCTGAAATAAAGATTTTAACTTACATAGGTGAATTAGTGAATGTCTGTTTCTGTTAATAAAATGTCATGACGCTAAGTGTCTCTACATTTGGAAGTTTCAAACTACAGAGTGTTATCCTAAACTGAGTTACTGGTGTTGTTAATGTAGCTAGGATGATTTTGGCAGATAACAGAAATTAATAGTACGCTAATGAGTAATGGGTAAGATGAACTTTCAGACATGCAAGCTCTTCTTTGCCTCTGAAAAATAAGTAGCAAAATAATTTGACATTTAATCTGTGTATCCCACTTGACAAATGTACGTGAAAGAATCTGAAAATGACAGGAAAATTGGCCTGTCATGTTGTCTCTCCTCTCTTCTTTCCCTCTTCTAGAGGGAAAAACTAGAAAAATAGGATGGAGCGGTACTTCCACTTAATACAGTTGCTTACTTTTTTTTGAATCTTTGTTTTTAGGTTAGCCTCTTAAGTTGGTTAAGTAGCTTCTTTTTAAAAATGAATAATGAGCAATTTTTTTTATAATTCTTGGTTAATACTGCTGAGCCAAATGTGGAAGTTAACAATATCCAATGTGGCTTCTGTAGCAGGAATTCTTTAAGCTGGGTTTTAAACTAGAAGTTCTCTGTGTTTGGTAGAAAGTAGGTGTTCTTCATGTGCCAGCATGAATGGCAGCTGGGTCCCAGTCGTGGTTGTTGGTTTTTCCAGTCTTGAGAGTGATTTACTTCTGGTGGAGTTGTTTTAAAGCTGCAGTGTGTGTTCAGCCTTTATTATGCGTCTTGGTATCTGCAAAGGAGAATGTTTTGTGAAGGTCCTAACAAAAGGAAGATCTTCTGTAGGGGTTGCACTAAGGCCCTTGTGGATTCACTTGTCAAGGAGGATTTTGCTTTTGTCTTCACTGGTAACTTGCCTGTTAGAGAGTGGAACGTGCATGGTTTTTTTCCTTACAACCTCCAGTTGAAAATGTTGCAGCATTGTAGCAAAATCCCTGACTGTTCTGTTAGCAAAACAGGCGATTCTGTAGCTCTGTTAAAAATGTCTGAAATGTATATTTCCATAGCTGTTTCTGAAATTCCACTGACACTGTAGAGGGTCTCAGCACGGAGACAAAAAGGAGACTGGGAGAGCTGGGGTGCTTGGGATGATTTCAAAGAATAGAGAGCTTTCTGGCGTCTGTTCTTTTAATTGTAAATCTGCTGCTGAATTTTGCAGTGGAACAGCTGCCTTGTCTTGTTGCTGAATAGAAGCATGGAGATCTTGAGTGCATGAGGGAGCACTTGGGATCTTTTACACTGATAAAGAAGAAATTTGGAAGTGTAAGCTAATTGCATTAGTTAATTAGTTCAATTAAAGTTTAACCAGTGAAACAATAAGTGTCATCGTTTCAGTGACAAACATCAGTGCAGCGTGTGGACCGTTCATAAATCACAGCCATGGTTATCAGTTGCAGGGAGACCTTCCTTTTCCAGGTGCCACTTTTATAGAACTACAGAATGGTTTGGGTTGGAAGGGACCTTAAAGCCCCCCCAGTGCCACCCCCTGCCCTGGGCAGGGACCCCTCCCACCACACCAGGTTGCTCCAAGCCCCCTCCACCCTGCCCTTGAACCCCTCCAGGGAGGGGGCAGCCACAGCTTCTCTGGCCAACCTGGGCCAGGCTCTCATCACCCTCCCACCAAACAAGTTCTTCCCCACATCTCAGCTCCATCTCCCCTCTTTCTGTGTCCAACCCTTCCCCCTCCTCCTAGGGCTCCCCTCCCTGATCCAGAGTCCCTCCCCAGCTTTCCTGGAGCCCCTTGAGGGACTGGAAGGGGCTCCAAGGTCTCCCCGGACACTTCTCTTCTCCAAGGCTGAACCCTCCAAACTCTCTCAGCCCCCCCTCCCAGCAGAGGGGCTCCAGCCCTCCCAGCATCTCCGGGGCCTCCTCTGGCCCCGCTCCAACAGCTCCATGTCCTTCTGCTGTTGGTGGCCCCAGAGCTGGAGGCAGCACTGGGGGGGTCTCCCCAGAGCAGAGCAGAGGGGCAGAATCCCCCCCTCACCCTGCTGGCCACGGGGCTGGGGATGCAGCCCAGGATGAGGTTGGATTTCTGGGCTGCCAGCACACATTGCCGGGCTGTTTTGAGCTTCTCAACTTGATCATGTTCGATCAACGTTGAGAGCCTTCTTTTGGCCACTGTCAAAGGCAAGTCCTGAGACCTGTTGGTCTGACTGGGGCGCAACCTTCCTTGCATTGGTTTTTCCTCTGGTAATTTCAGACCTGCCCAGAGTGCTTGTGGAACCTCTAACTGTGGAGATACTTAGGACTCGGCAGGACATGGCCTTGACTAACCTGATCTAATTAGACCTCCTTTGAGCAGGGGTTGGACGTGGTGACTTCTGGAGAACTCTCAGTTTTCAGACTCTTCCTCTCTCTGCGCTCCCTCTCCCCCTAATCCTCCCAACCCAAGTGCATGTACACAATGGAGCATGAGTCTCTCTTCCCAGGGTTGAAGTGCTCGGCTGCTTGGAAGAGGAGTTGTTTGGCTGTTAAGGGAGTGTGTTCTGTTCAAGAAATGACTTTCTGGCTTGTGCGATGGAAAGATGTGTGGGATCGACTTGTAGACTTGGCCTGTACAATGGCGGCTGGATTATGCTTAACCTAGGGTTCTCCTGGGATTATAACACATATATATAGATGTAAAACATGGTTGAATACTAACCTGAGTGATATGTTCTGAATGTCATGGGTGTGCTGTCCTGAAATTGAACAGCCAACATAATTTCTTTTTTTTTTCCCCCTTTAGAGGCTAAAAATTAGCCAAACCACTTCTGATAAATGGCTTTAAAGCCCAAGAGCAACATGTGCAGTGTTTTGTGGCCAGTTTCAATCAAAGTGCCTATTATTTCTAGAGCGTCTGTGGCAAATGTGGAACTCTTTTCACCAAGTGAAATAAAACATAAAGAGAACTTGAGACTTCAGATGGTGCTTATTTAGCAATGAATTGTACAAATTTGATCCTATGAACCTGTTGTTTGTTTGATCACATGCGGGTTACGCTGCCAAGAGTGATTCTGCTGGCAGAGTTAGGTCGATCTCCCATCATCTGTGTAAAATGACCTGCATGGCTCTGTATTACAGTTCAATAATGACCTTCCTGGCTTTTGGAGAATGAGGCTGTTTTTTTTTTTTTTTTTTTACAGTATATAGCTCAAGTGACTCAAGTGAGAAACATTTATCAGGCTTAACCGTTATCAGTCCTTCGCAGCACAGAGTACGTGAGAGCTCACAAAGAAGTGACAGACTTTGGAGTCTTAACTTGGCTTCGTGTCAAAGTGTAATTTTAACTTTTTGTGACCTGAAACCCTGTCAGGTTTGTCTCCTTAGACCCTTTCTAAGTCACTCCTGCTTTCACAGATTGATTTTCGCTCGGTGTCCTGGCAGGGCAATGCGTGACCCACAGTGGTTTGGGAGCCCCCAGCCTGGTGTGGGAGCCAAAGTTGGTCCTTTTTTCCGTTCCCTCTTTCAGTGGGATCCTTGGCACCCTGTCAGACCCCATTCAAAGGACAGTCTTGCTCCTGGGTTCTGTCTCAGACTCCTTCCCCCTGCTCCCCCCACCCCGAGGCATTCGTGTTTTATGCCAAATTTATTTTGGCTTCAGCCCAGCTCTTTGCTGGTGGGGGTAGAGCTGAGCTTTCTCAGAAGGTTGGAAGTGTGGCTGGAGCAACCTGAGCGTTTATTTAACCTACCCCTCTCTGCTGGGCAAACAGGGACTGCTTTTAAAAAGAGGGTGCCCTGGCCCTGTGCGACTGGAGGTTTCTGTGGGCTCTGCTTTGAAATTCAGTGAGCAGCTCTGACATTATTGTGGGGTTTTCAATGAAATGCCAACTTTTGTGCCCATGACATGTCTTGATGATTTTTTAAAAATTATTATTCTGTAAGCTTTTAAAAAACATTTACTGGACTTACTAATAAAAGTGCTGCTTTTATTGAAACGGCTGCTTGCTGCTTTGCCCAGGTACAACTTTTTTTCCCCACATGTGCAAAGCGTTTTGGTATCTGAGGATGAGATTACATGTTACAGCTGAGCTGATCTAACTCACTGTCATCAAAGGAGAGAAACCTGACCCTTCCTCCCCCTCTCCCACTGCTGCACAGTCCCTCCTCTTCCCCTCTGCAAGCCCCTGGCTCTGGCCCTTGTCACCTCCTTTGCCAGCCGAGCTCTCAGGCCTGGCAGGAGCCTGCTGCTCTTCTGCCATGTTGGGGTGAGGAGAAGAACCTGATAACTTCAATAAAGGCAAGTGTAGGGTGTTGCACTTGGGGAGGAATAACCCCCTGCACCAGGACAGGGTGGGGGTGACCTGCTGGAGAGCAGCTCTGAGGAGAAAGACCTGGGAGTCCTGGTGGACAACAGACTGACCATGAGCCAGCAATGGGCCCTTGTGGCCAAGAAGGCCAGTGTCATCCTGGGGGGCATCAGGAAGAGTGTGAGCAGCAGGTGGAGGGAGGTCATCCTGCCCCTCTGCTCTGCCCTGGGGAGGCCCCAGCTGGAGCACTGGGACCAGTTCTGGGCTCCCCAGGCCTAGAAGGAGAGGGAACTGCTGGAGAGGGGACAGCAGAGGGCTACAGAGATGGTGAGGGGCCTGAAGCATCTCCCTTCCGAGGAGAGGCCGAGGGACTTGGGTCTTTTGAGTCTGGAGAAGAGAAGGCTGAGGGGGGATCTGATCAATTCTTATAAATACTTAAAGGGAGGGTGTCAAGAGGATGGGGCCAGGTTTTTTTCAGTGGTGCCCAGGGACAGGACAAGAGGAAATGGGCCCAAACTTGAATGTAAGAAGTTCCACCTAAACATGAGGAGGAACTTCTTTCCTGTGAGGGTGGCAGAGCCCTGGCAGAGGCTGCCCAGGGAGGTGGTGGAGTCTCTGTCTCTGGAGACATTCCAAACCCACCTGAACACATT